AAACAATGCTAAGAAAAACAAAGCTTCTTAATTACATCTCGTATTTGTTCTTTCTCATTCAGTCCATTAATTAAGGATTGAAAAGCATTGCGCTTTACGCACAATCTTAGTTCATGATAGTTGCGTGACATGAAATAAGTATATACTTGATGGAAATCATATATTTGAGAGTCAAATCTAGGCTCTAGCACACCACTAGTTAATATTCTTTTTTTAAGAAAAAAAAATCAGCAAAAGTTATTTCAGTTCCAAACTAAATAAAATAAAGGTTATTAACCTGATTAAGTATAAAATTGTTCTTTTAACCTTTGTGGATAGTGCTAACAAGGGGTCCTCTTTCTTATTATGGAGAAAAGAGTTATTCCATACCCACATAAGTGGGACTGACATCTATTCTGCCAGTTGGAACTAAGTAACTCTTTTGAAGAATAAAGTAGAAAGCAAGGTTTGTTGAAATAAAAGTAAAGAAAGATAATCCTAACAATTTATTAATCTGAGCAGAAAGAATTCAGTTTTTTTTTTTTTAAATAAGATTTTAAGTATGAATTTTATAAATAGAAAAACAAATGCTTAGAAAACTTCTCCATATGACTTAATCTGACTTTGAATTAGTTAAACTTTTATATATTATGAGATTTTAGGGGAAAAAAAAACTAAAAAAGATAAGAGAAATTTCCTAAGCGTGTTTTAGGTTTGTTCTTTGTCAGAACCAGCCTACTACCGTAATCTTTGGCCTTTCTCAAGTGAGAAATGCCTAAGATTTGCTCCCATTTTAAGGCAACTAGCCCAATTATTTGAGGCACACAAATTGTAATAACAGAATCCAGGTTTCTCAAATACTGCCAAAAGGGCAAAAACAACCAAGAAAAAGAAAAACTCAACCATGTCAACAACACTCACATGTCAAAAGCCTAATGATTCACACAAGGCACGCCCTCAAGTCTTGAGTTCAACTCATGTTAGCACCTCTTATTTGTGATTTTTGAATTCCTCCTCAAAACTAATATTTTCAAGAGTTGGGTCAGTTTACAATGTTGTGAGCGATGTTATTGCTATACTATTAATTATTAATGTTATATTTTTTTACTTAAATTAATCATTATATTCTTTAATTTATCTAACAAACACAAAACAACAAAAAGTCTTAAAAAAAATATAATATAAAGATCTTATAATCAGTTACATTTAAAAAGTATGATATCAACTATTTAAAATATAATAATTCATTTACTATAATTTTACAATTCAAACTACATTGAATTGTAAAACTAAAATCATTAAAATTAAAATTTAGCTCGCCCCACGAAGCCAATATTAACCATGTGATGGGCATAAGTCAAATGGGTAATAAAATAAGATCAAACGGTTGGATCTCTTCAGAAGCATGATCGATATTGAACAAAATGACAAAGTGGAGGAGAGGAGGGGGAGATCGGAGAGATGGGTGAACGAGGAAGAGAATGGTTGAGATTTGAGGAGTACATTTGTAGCTTTATGCCAATATGGGGTTTGTTTGGATTCAAAAAACTATATGATTTGCCATGTGCAAATCCAAAGAACAACATTATTGGAATGGGTCCCATTCCCAAACAGACCTCTGTTTGTCACTTTGATGGCAACTACCTCGTGCATATGATGCTGTAAAATTAAAATTAGCTTTTTGCTAATTCAAAGTTATTGATGAGTTATGGTATGACCCATTGCTATTTCGGGCCACCACATCAACTTCACTGGTTATTTTTTCAACTTTCTCCCCACTCTTCTTTAATTTTTTTTTGTCAGAAAACTTTCTATCTTTGATGTCATTTAGTTTGAAAGTTGGTGAAATTTAAAGAGAATAATAACAATGCAGCCAATGCCCCAACTTTGGAGTACACAAGGCATTAGAGTTGGGTCAAATTAATTTAAGCAGGTTAGGTGTCAGATGGATTAGACCAAATGAACTTATATAGACAAAAAGAGACAAGCCATAAATAAGTTTAGTTTTAAATTAGATAAATTCATATTTAGTTTATGAGGGTTGAACTTTTAACATCTTAAAAATATAAAATATTTAATTTATTTAATATTTATTTTAATTTATATTTTATGTATTTTTAAAACAATAAAAAAATATAAAAATCAAAAGATGGAGCACAAAAAAGCGCTCCTAAACAAACGAAGCTTCAATTGTCAAATATCACAACTTTTGTAGCCCTCTTGCCCATGAGGTGGGTTGGGTAATGTTTTGCGAAGTAAACTATAAGTTAAATGTCAATTTTGATTCTTAATTTTAAGGTTTTATATACTTTTTATCCTTTAATTTTTTAATGTATTTTTTGGTCTTTTAATTGTGAAAAATATATTTTTTAAGTTTTTTTGTTACTTAATATGTTACGTTTGTCTAAATATACACATTTCTAATACTTGAACTTTTAAATTAAGGAATGCAAAATATACATATATTATAACTTGAGAGATTAAAAATATATATATATTTAGATAGACTCAAAATGTTTACATTTCGATACACTTAATAGACTAACCGATAGAATAATTAAAAAAATATATTTTTCATAATTAAGTAATTAAAAATGTGTATAAAAAATTGGGGTTCAAAAACTGTATGAAACCTTAAAGTTAAGGTATCAAATTGAAATTTAACCTTTAAGATGTTACACTTTCAACATTCACTCATATGAAGTGTATAGTTGTTATAAAATAATGTAGCGTTTCTTTTCTTGCACTACCTCTATTCAAAATTAGTTATCTTTATTTTTGGACTTTCTTTTCACACAATTCCACAGTGCTTAATGTGCTTTTATATGGTAACTAAATAATAAGTGACATATGTTTTTTAAAAATTAAACTATTGATCAACTATGATTATATATCAAATTTTTATTCATATATTATTTTTAAAAAATACTATATAAAATTTGTAAAAAAAATTTGTAAGTTTTATTATTATATCTAAAATAAAATTCAAGGGGGAATAGTTAATTTGAACCGAACAGATGTACAAATACCGTGACAAACGGGAATTGAAAAAATAATTAGTTAAAGGGTTTGTTTAACTCCTACTTTAGGAATTTTTTGTGTTATAAATTTATATAAAAATTATAAAAGTTGATA